GACGCGTAATCTCGTTACGTGGAGACGTTGGGTGGCCTGCGCGTTCACCCGATCTTGCCCCATGCGACTTTTTCCTTTGGGGCTACCTGAAAGCGACGGTTTTTCAACACCACCCCCGAACCATTGACGAATTGAAAGCAGCAATACGCCAAGAAATTACAGGAATATCGCCTCAAATTACTGCTCGAGTGATGGAAACTTTTAGAAATCAGCTTCGAATGTGTATCGAAAAAAATGGTCGCCACTTGGACTCTGTAATTTTCAAAACTCAATAAAAACAAATGGCATAGCATACATTTTCAGTTAATAAAAATAAAATCTAAATAGCATTTACAATGGCGTTTTTATTAAAGATTAAAATGTGGGAGATCATTTTGCCGGACCCTGTATATAATAGTTCAACATCTTAACATTTAGATCATAGTGGCGCTTCGTATTTAAAATAATGTATTTAACATAAACGGTCTTTGTTTCTAATCTTATTATAAAATAAATAAATTATAAAAATGTGTTTAATAAAAATAAAATGCTTGAAATATAACTTAATTCATATGTATATAGCTTATTTAAAATATAAATATTAACACATTTGTAAAAATATAATATAACTGTAATGTTAATACTTTTAAGTGAAATAAACATCACGCACATGTAAGATTGCAGAGATAAATATTCTGATGAACAATTTGTAAATGTAGCACGATTATATGAACCAAGTATCGATTTATCTGGAGTTGAAAAGTGGATGTATTATCCTCAGAAAAATGGATGTATTACCGTCAGAGCTATATAATTTACATCCACTTTGTCAGGGGGCAGTAGTGCATGGTAGCATTTTGCGGTTACAAGTTTTGGACCGGCATGCCCTCTCTCAGGTTTCTCTCTCTCTCTCTGCTCTAAGCAATCACTGTAATAAAACCAATAACTACATAATTTCTTATATCAGAGCGCACAGATTATATAATCAGAGCGCTGGTTGAAGAGGCAAAATTCAGGAACACTCAGATCCTTTTCATTTGGATCCCGTCGCATTGTGGCATTCGCGGCAAATGGTTTGAAACAGTTGATCAACCGGCTAATACCTTACGAATGAAAATATAATCTCAAAAAACATTAATCAAGAAGTAACAAGAAACAGGCAATAAAATTCCAACACGTCGGAAGATTGTTCCTATTCCTTGTGCCACATTTTTTGTCTTATGGACTTCTTGCACTTTTGTAGTGGTACGTTTGTATTAATATAGGTTATGTATCGAACTTATATCTCGAAGCTCTCATTGGACGGTACGTATTTCTCTATTCCCTGTGCCTATTGCCTGTATTTATATGTGCTTAAGCTTAATTCAAATTAGACGTAGCAAGCGTCAAGCAGCGGAGCAGCAATCAATCAGCGAAGCGATATTTACAGTGGCATAAAAAAATATCGCCTTGCTGGTTGTTGCTCTGCTGCTTGACGCTTGCTGCTTCCAGTCTGAACTAAGCATTCAGTTAACAATCCAGCAGGAAAACAAGCATTGTGCCGCTGGTTTTATAGAAGTTGTGCGACCCTTCGCAGAGTGAAGGGGGGGGGGAAGAGTGAGAGTCGTGGGATGAGAGTCGCTTCGCGTGGAGAGTTGAAATCCATGTGAAACAGTACAATTATGGACCTCATTTAATTTCTGTGACAGATTTCCTAATCTTGATAATCGTCAACTTTAACGCTTAATATCTGTTCGCGGGGCAGAGCGACATTTTTTTCTGTCAGATTCTTTAATTTCCTACAAAATCGAATGAGTCTAATTTTATTGATTGTTGAGATAAAGTAGATTGTAATTACCGCATATACGTGTGCACGTGAGAAGTATATAAATTTTGCAGTTTCTTTTTGTATACAATTATATATTTTTTTAAGCACCATGCCAAGCTGTTACATCAAAAATTGTACTAATCGTGTACGGATAAATGATATAAAATTTTTTAAATTACCGAAAGAACCTGTTGTTCGCCAGCAATGGCTGAAGGCCTGCGGAAAAAACGAAGGAGAATTACCTAAATCTGGTAAATTATTAAAATTTATATAAATATTTATTATTATGTAATTGTATTTTATATTATTTTGAAAGAGTAATAAATATACTACAAAATATAAATTTAATTTAAAGAACCAATAAGCCTCACAGAGTGTTAAAACGCTTTGTTTGTTTCAAGTCGATTTACACGAATTCTAATTTAATAAGAAGAAAGAATTCTCTAGAATTATATAAATAATCTTTTAAACATTGGTGGTTTTAAACATTTATACTTAATGTGACAATTGATATCATATAGCAAATAAATTATAATCTCAGAGACATAAAAATTCTTACATGTTGATAAGTCGGCAATGCAATTTATAAATTTGAATAACATATACATATACATTAATTATTTCTGTAGAGATGTTATCTAATGAATAAAATTGAAATATAAAATTCAACATTTCGATTAATTGTAATTTAATTTTGATTTTTACGATTAGATGTTTAAAGAGATTAATAGATACATATTCTGGAAACCTTTCTTTAATAAACTAACAACTTAAAAAGAATATGTATATAACAGGAAAGTTATGTTATTAGTTTGTCATTTATATAACAGGAAAGTTAAGTTAAATTTGTTAAAATATCTGTTAAATTATCAGTTTAAAAGGTTGAAATGTTTGTTATAATGTTATGTTATAAATTTGAAAATTTCTTATTAAATTTCAATTCATATAAATCAATTTAAACAAACCAATGTTTTAACACCGTGCGAGGCTTATCATCCCTTAGATTAAATTTGATTTATTTTTTTGAGCCTTGTGTGCATGTGGATATAGAATTTTTTAACTATAAAATATACATTTAGCAACAATATGTAGTATTCATTTCGAGGAATACTGCTTTCGATGGACAAAGCCACAAGATAATATACCACTCAAGCAGATATGGCGATTGAAGGAAAATTCTGTCCCCACAAAATGGTTGAATATAAAAAAGAATGATAAAAGAAAAAATGATAATAAAAAAATAAAAGTGTAAGTATTTTCCTTATACAAAAAAATTTAGAGAAAGAAATATATAATTTGATTGAATAAATTGGAAAAAAGTGAATAAGTACTTTTCTATTTTTCAGAGCAGGTATACCAACCTATGGACAACTTGTGCAATATGCACGAGAAAAGCAGCATATACTTTCAGATGAAACAATTTGTATGGATACGAATATTTGTAAAGATGAGTCCATTTTGCTTCCAGATGTTGCAATAAAAGAAATCATGTATGTAACAATTTAATCTATATTTGTTTAGTATCTTTCATTACTATCTGCATTATATTAATGTTTTTTTAATCATCATTTCTAAAGTAATCTATATTTCTTTATTATAACTAATTATATAAATATAGAGTAACTCCGGCAGATACGCCACGCTGGGATTTACGAAGCAGAAATCAGAAAAAATAGGACTGGAGATAATTTTCCCGCAACTACTTTGTTACATGCCTTTTATATTATATTAGTATTATATTATGATTTCAGTTTCTTTAACATATTAATGAAATTATTGTGAGTTATTGATTTATCACTAAAATAAACAGCGCCATCATGCATGTTGTATAGCAAAATATAAGTGTTTTGCTCTTGTATTCTCTTTGTTTAGAGAGTTTGTTGTCTTATATATCCTATCTGTTTGGGATATACGGCATTTTTAGCGGGCGGGCTTATGCCCAAAGTATACAAAGTGCGCAGATTGGATTCAGTGCACTAAATGCAATAAACGCATTACATGAAATATATATCTCATGTAATAACACTTGTAATATATGTAGGAAGATTATAATTATTTTCTATTATTTCATATATATATTTATCATTCTTATTCCTTAATAATACTTTATAGACATATTTTATAAGTAATTGTGTCATTTTACGTCTATTTATAAGCATTATTTTGTGTGAAATTTTTTACGAGCTGTACGTAGCATCTCCTATGAGTAGCCGCATATCCCAACTCTATGGGATATAAATCGTTATAACACCGACAGTTGTTAGTAGCCGTGTACATACAGAATCCCGACCGTAGTCAATTAGGGAGGTTCTACTCTTTTGGAACTACATCAAATATTACAAAAAAAAGACGTACTAAATACAACAGAAATTAAATCAAGTCTTATTGATAATTGAAATTCTTGGTTCTCGCAGATAAAACGTGGTAACGCTTGCCGCGCGGCGGAAATTAGCGCAATAGCCAATTATTCTTCCGCTTTTATGGAAAAGCGATAAACTGACTGTCTCTCGCGCCAATTTCCGCCACGGCAAGCATTGTCGCGTTCTATGTGCAGCTACAATGTTGCAATGGTTCTATTTGCAATTATTTATGTTACTGCAAGTAACACTTTGAATATCCTCCCAGAACTAATAGAAGTTAATTTAGTGAAAGTTGAAAATGTTGTGTAATTTTGCGAGCTGAACGTTCAGTAAGCGGTTTCATAAAAACGATATAAAAAAAAACACGATTAAATGTATATATGCACATTAACAATTAATCATATTTACATTATCTACACACTTGTACATATATTTATAATGCTAATGCATTATCAAAAGCTTAATATACTTCTTGAGATGTATTTATAGAATAAATATTTTAACACATACCATTAGATTTACAAAAAAATCTAGACCCCTTTATTTTATAAAGAATTTGTCTCAGGGCGATTATATATTATTTTTTATAAGATTAGTTATTTAAAGATTCTTTTGTAACGGGAAATTTAATGTGTCGTGGAAAGATGATATATTACAAATAATAATGTCATAATCGTTTAAAATGTTAAATAACTTTGCCCATTATACTTATGACAAGTTTTGACAAGTTTTATATACAGGTTCCTTTCTCACATTATAATCTACAATACTCTACTAATACTCTGGTTCATGAAAATTGACTTATACACATTCTTATTTCTTAAGAAATACACTGTACAAAAAATACAAGCCTATTATCTAAAAGACCTCAAGTATTCTTTATTTTGTTCTTTCGAATTCTTCCGAACACTTCAAAAAAAATCCCAATGCGTGTCCGCGTGTCATATGCTTTAGAAATGTTTGGAAAGTCTAATCTCTATTTCTAATGCTGTTATAAGCAATCACATCGATCGCCGAATATACATATTGAATTTATGCAGAAAAATGAAAATGAATTTTTAATTTTTTAACGCGACCAGGGAAATTACTTTTCGCTTATTCTGTACATCTGAGATTTAAATAAACTCATTTGTGTAAAGGAAAAAAATTTTTTTTGCCGATGAAAGTAGGCGACAAATAATTATATATATAAAAGTACTTTATAGACGATGTCTTGGTAAAAGATATATCGTTTGTTTGGCAGTTAAAGATATGCAGTCGTTCTCAATTGAACGCGACGCGACAGAAGAGAGTGTTGAAATCTCTACTGTGCGCTCGACTGCTTCGCAGATTTACCATGAAGTAGCTCGAGACTAACGGGTCATAAAAAAAGTTAAGTAATTACATTAGTGAAATCTGACTTACTAAACGCAATCGATCCCGAATAGGAGATTCTGATTTTTATATATCTCGCCGCGTATCCGCCGGAATACAAAAAATTATTGTAGCAAAATAATCGACTCTAAAATTGGATATATCAGATAAAAAATATGTTGGCATTATTAAAATATCAATTATAATATAATGTAACAATTTCCAACATACGCCATATATATGTACATATACTGACAAGGAATGATTCTGAATTACACTAAAATGTAGCACTACCATGTCCGTTAGTGTAATCGCTATAGATATGAATCTACGTACTGCCATCATTAATGATGCATATACTTTCTATCTTGCCTTTTTGAGCGACATACTCCTGGCTATTTACAATTTTAGCGGAGATTTCTATTCGCGCCGCCAGGTCGTACGTTCCCGCTCTGATCAGCACAGCATGTAATTTCATGATATTACTTGCATGCGCTTCGATATCGGAATAAATTGACGAGTGGCCAGCATACTTGTAGTATGTCGAAGCTTGCGGTGAGTACAGCTGAGACTTAACATTTGGAAGATGAGTTTTGCTGCAAAAGAAAATTGCATATGTATATACATGTAAAGAGAAAATAATATAAGAATAAAATAGCAAATCGCAATGTTAAGCACGCTAAATAATATTTTATATATATATTAAATGAAAGATGTTTCTAAAATTCTAGGAATTATCCTCTAAATCTCTTTTTTTATTAATATCACATAGTTAAACTATATAACATATTTATCCCAGCACAAAACTATTTTTTTTGTAGGCGATGTTCGAAAATCTTCCCAATATCTTTTATCTATTGATTTATAATTAATCGCACTAGATTTCCAGAACTTTAGAAATATCGCTTATAAATATTTTATTTCTCTCACCTACTAGTACCTATCGTACTTATTTTAATGTCGACTCGCATTTCCGAGTGATTTTGTAAATACATTATTACAGGGATGATGCACAATCGGCTTTGCCGAAAATCGTGTGTGACTTTCCTTTGGTGACTGAGAGAAAACGAGATTAGACTTTTCAGATATTCCGTTTCCCATATGGGATCCTTAAGAGGGACAGTTACTGCATTTGATATGTTTCGGTCTGGACCAAAAATTTTTAAACGAACGCCATATTCATTACGTTCGGTGCGCTCTTTCGGATGTTTGTATGTCTTATTTAAATGCTCGAGTTCGAGATGATGCTGTCCGACTGCCATTCGGGTAATTACACCGCTCTCCGTCACGTTGGCGCACCATTTGACAATCAGTGTAGAATTCAGTGCCATAACATCCGATACAGAGTTGTGTTCAGCATTTTGTTGCGATTGAAACTGTTGCATGTCATTTGCACTTTCATTCATGTCCAGCGGTTGAATATGACGTCTCTGTATAAAATTAATAAATGGATAACTGTCGATCAATGTCTCGCCGCCTTCGTCGGGAGTTAAGGACACGCTTGAAATAATCGACTCGCCGTTAGCCTTCTTCTTTTTCAGCTTCAGCATCAGATGAAATACCTCTTGAGGTTGTACCTTTATGCTTGGGGGCACACCCGAGGAGTGAAACGCGGACCATACAGTACTCTGAAGTGATACTTCTGATAAAATAATCTCATTTATGGATGGATCTTGAACTTGATTGGTATTCTTAACGGACATGATTAAATTTAACATCGGTGAGTCGTCCTTGAACAATCTACTTCTAGCGGCAACCGCGGTAATTTGTATTGAGTCCAACACCGTTAATTGCCAAGTATGTCGGCACAAACGATGTTTCAAAGTAGCTTTTGATTCGACGCTTTCGTAGTAGAAGAGCAGATCTAATCTGTAAGTGCCTTTTATGTGGGGTGCTTGCACCCAAAGTGGCATTTTGTGAGTCTCGCCCACATTCAACATACGATTTTTGGAGACTGGTAATGTCACCTTTGTGACTAACTTACTGCTCTTCTTTGTAATTGAATCTGCAAATAAAATATTGTTAAATATTTGATAAACCACATACACACACACACACACACAACACATATAAAAAATACTAATGGCATATTTTAGACGGAAGAGAAATACAAAATATCTTATCTAACACAAAGTAATAAAATAAAATATATGTCCTAAAGACATACTCGTATGCTTACCTTCACTTGCAAATTTATCAATTTCTGTATTTCCTAATGTAAAAAGTTTCGCGTCGGTGGATGCGATGTATATGTTCATCAACGGTGCATTACCTACATTCTTTAACGTAACTTCTATTCTTTGTACCTCGCCACATAGCATTTCTGGCGATAGTTTAGTAAAGAGTATCTGCGAAGAGGAATACGAATTTCAATTTTTTGTATTATGTGACATAATCGTCTTTTCATAAAACTATACCTGCATAAATGCCGCCTTCTCTATCACATTCATCTCCAGCCTATAATCCTTCCCATACATATTCATACCGGGTTTCTCTTTGATATTTTTTAGTTTGGGCGGCGTAATCTCGAATAATCTCTTACCGGCGACAATGGTCGAATTTGCTATCGATGAATCACTTGTCATCTGTACTGAATTGGACAATTTATAACTTATACCTAAGATCTTCAATTCGCCCACTCGCTTGGGCGTAAGAGACAACACGATATTCTGTTTGCATGCTGGTTGCAACAGAATTGCATTTATAATATCCGAATCGACCGGACTTGAACTGTCGATTATTTTTGTTTCATTCGTGATAGTCTCGTTATTGCAAGTGAATGACCACAACAGTGTCATGTCTGATAGTGGTAGCGGGACATGTAACGGATTGTGCAACTCAATGGAATAATGCACAGGTTCGCCTAAAACTGCGTTGGGTTTTACGGAGTTATTACTTATTCTAGAGTATAGCGCAATTGTTGGTTTAAATATCATAGGCGGAGAACCCTGCGCCTCGGTTATCAGCAATTCTTCCATTTTCGACCATCTCACGTCATCCGTCTCTTCAGT